TTTTTAAGAAGCTCTTTCTCATCATGTGTTAGAAACGACGCATCAAGCTTATTTGCCGAACCTGCTGGGATGGCTAATCGTGCTTGCTTAGGTTCCGTATCACTTTGAGCCATTTTCTTTTCCATTATTATTTTAACATCGCTAACTTCATTGTATCCGACATTACGCTTCACATGCTCAATAATTGTTACCTTAATAGCATCATCATGATCAACAAATAATAATTTACCACTTTCTTTAGGCTTCTTGTTATTCATCTTAGGCTCCGACGATGCTTTCCGCTTACGGTAACGTCTCTTTGGCTGATCACCGGGGGGGATCGACCATCGAGACCTCGGGTTGTTTCTTGTTTAAGGAGGGTTCAATAATATTTGGTTTAGAAAAGGTAATTTTCAAGTTGTAGTTAGAGCTTCTCATTGTGTAACACTCTTTTTGTTGGTTATTAGGATTGTTTGTTGGAGATGAATTTGGTTCTGATATGGAACAAAAGGCCATTGCAAAGGAAGAAGAAAGAAGGAGAATGTTTTCAAGAAGGGAATGAATGGAAGGTAGCTTAGGTTACGTGAATGAATTTCTTTTTTTTTTAATAAATGAATAGATGTATATATTGGAAATTAGGAATATATGAGTTTGGAAACATTTAGAAGTATAAGAGTAAACTTGGATTTCAAGTTACCTAAAATTTATTTGATCAAAAGATGATATTTTTAGGAAGTAAAATTGATCTTCGCAGTAAATTCAGTTTTTATAAAATCTGATCTCATTTTCAATTATAAAAAGATATAAAATTTATTTACACAAGGAATTGTTGATTGCACTTGTATTACCAACAAAAAAAATAAAAAAATATTAGGTAAATTCTAATTGAATGTTTACTCAACTTGTTTAGCGTATATTAACTCTATTTTCTATTTTATTGTTATAACTCTATTTTCAATTATCGTAAAACCTTAATTTTTTTATATGGTTACATGCTTATATTATATTTTGAGCGATTAAATTAAGATAGAGTTAAAATAGTACTAGCAGTCAAATACTTAAGTTATGGAATTGGCTTAATTCCAAAATATAAAAGATTAAATATTAGAATTTGATCCAAGTCTAGCTAAATCCAACAAATCCATTGAAATATAGCCCAAAAAATGAATTGTTGAGTGATCCGATATCATGCAATTTGGTAAATAGACATAAATTCGTTTCTAATTTTATTTGTTAACCCCAATTAAATTAATTATTAGCTGTAAATCAGAAATTTAGATATTTTTTAGGGAAAGGTGAATCAGCAACTTTTATATGCGGTTGGCCACACCGTGTGGCCAGCTGACACACACTAAGTAACCCTTGATCGACGAATAATCTCTGACCGAGTAACCCCTGACCGTCTGAGTCCCCCTTAACCGACCAAATAACCCTTGACCAAGTGAATAACCCCTGACCGACTTAGTAAACCCTGACCAAGTGAATAACTCCTAACAAACCAAGTAACCCCTAACCGAGTAACCTCGGATCGGCTTAATAACCCCTGACCGAGTGAGTAACCCCTATAAAACAACCCTAACAAATAATAATCAGAACATCAAAGAATTGAATGAATGATGAGTAAACTATCTATATATCAAATCTCCAACATACATGAGATTGATCATAATCTTGGACAAATTAATTAAACTTAATCCTCGAAAGAGTATGTACGGCCTATTGCAGCTCCAAACACCTTGACGGGTTTAGCTTTGATTATGACAAAGTGAAGAGCGTTGTTGTACCGAAACGTTGCAAGAAGAATGTTATCATCTGTTTGTAGTCCATTCTCCTCCTTCAGTTTAGGCCACTGGTGTCTTAACTCGGACTTCAAAACATACTTAAATCTAGGATCCTCATTGTTGTTGTTGTTCTTCTTCTTCTTCTCTATATCAACGAAATAATTCCATCTACCTAGGGGCATCTCATACACAGACAATCCCATGTTGACCTTGATGTTGATATCCGCCTTTATAAGAAGCTCTTTCTCATCATTTCTTAGAAACGACGCGTCAAGTTTTTCTGGTGAACCTGCTGGGAGGGCTAGTCGAGCTTGTTTAGGTTCCATATCAGTTGGTGTCATTTTCTTTTCCATTATTATTTTCACTTCGCTTATATCTTCTTTATTGTATCCCAAATTACGCCTCACATGCTCGATAATTGATGCTTTAGTAGCATCATTATTATGATCGACAAAAGATAATTTAGCACTTTCATTATTAGGCTTCTTGATCTTCATCCTCTTAGGTTTGTTGTTGCTGATCACGGGGGGTACGAGCTCCCTATTATTTTTATTATTATTAGGCTTCTTGATCTTCATCCTCTTCGCAATTCTGGTATTGTTGGTCCGGAATCGGCTTTCGACGATGCTCTTAGTCTTTTTCATAGGACTGTGGAGACTGACCTTATGCGTAACCCTAGTGAGATCGCTGCCCCCAAACTCATGAAGAAATTGGCAAATATATATTTTGCGAAGATTACTGCTTCTTCAACATCCGCTTTCTCCTTATCTTCGCGTCAGGTTGCCTTATGGAAGTCCCAGCAGAGGGATCACGCTTCTGCCTGGTTGCGGGTGGTCCCAATATCGGGGTTGGGTCAGTCTATGAATGGTAAAGCTTACCGTTTTGTTCTTTGTAACCGATTGGGTGTCCCATTGTTCTCGATTTCGACACCGTGTTCCGCTTGATCAATGGGGATATATTTGGAGATCATGTAGTGTCTCGTGCTGAGATGGTGGGTATTAAACACCGGCATAATGTTGTTCGCGACACCCTTGTTGATATTTGTTTTCGGTTCGGGATTTCTACAACAAAGGAGGCCGGTTAACGTTGGGTTGACTGAAGGAAACGATGGGGCTCTTCGACCTGCAGATGTGTTGCTTTATTCTTGGGATAGAGGCCTTGATGTGTGTGTTGATTTGACGGGGTCTTCTCCTTTAACACAATAAGGGTTGTCTGACTTTGTTTCTGGTTGTGTTGTGTCAATTGCTGCATGCTCACCAGAAACGGGACAAGTATGGGGCACATTGTAGGGCTATTGGCTATGGTTTTCTTCCCTTCTCCTTTTCTTCATTGGGGGAATTAGAGAAGGATGTTTTTGCGTTGCTGAAGCGGGTTCAGGCGTCGTTAGGACTCGGGATATAGGTGCTCGTGCAGCTGCTCACATTTTTAGCAGGATCGGGTTCGCTATAACTAGAGGAGTGGGGGCCCACATTGTGTCTCGGCTCCCCACTAATTTCCTGTAAATTGATTGACTTTGTAGGTTTTTAATAATAATAATAATAAGGACAATTTCAATTTTGCTACCACCAAAAGGCAGGCACCTCAGTTTTGCTACCCCTTTAATTTTTTTTTTTATTTTACTACCACCTAAAATCACAGTTTTTAATTTTGCTACCACCTGACGGATTCCGTTAAGTTTATTCAAAAAAAAATTAAAATGGTTTAAAAAAAGAAAAAAAAAAGAACCCACCCTCCCCCTCCCTTTCCTCCACCACCCCTCCTGTCAGCCACCCTCCCCCCTCCCCCCTGCCGGCGACCGGCGCCCAAACGTAGCCCACGCCCTCCCTTTTCCCCTTCTTGCTGCCTCGACCTCCACCCCGAATCGGAAACCACCCCCCTCCCCATTCGCCCCACCTGAATCGCCGCTTCCCCCCCCCACCCACAAACACCCTGTTCCGGTGTTGCGACCCACCTCCACCCTCAATCCCCTCCTTTCTCGATTTGGTTTTCCGCCCTCCACAACCGGAACTCCCTTTAAACCCCTCCAACCATTCGAAACACCCTCAAAACCCCTCCCCCACTCCTGAAAACCCCCAACAACCACTTCCTCACCGTCAAAAACCCTAGCCGCTAGGGTTTCGGGGTTGGAAGTTTTCGAAATGGGGGATGGAGGGGTTTAATAGGTGGTTGCGTGGGGGGTTTCGGGGGGGGGACTGTGGCTTAGGGGAAGCGCCGGAGCGGCGAGTCTAGTGGTTGGGCGAGCGAGGTGGCTGGGCGAGTCTAGTGGTTAGGCGAGCGAGGTGGCTGGGCAGGGAGGTGGCGGGTTGCCGGAGTTCTAAGGTGGTTGGGGTTTTTTTTTTAATAAACTTAACAGAGAATCCTAACGGATTCTGTCAACTGGTAGCAATTTTTAATAACTCTGATTTAAGTGGTAGTAAAATAATAAAAATATAAAAATAATTAAAGGGGTATCAAAACTAAGGTGCCTGCCTTTTGGTGGTAGCAAAATTGAAATTGTCCCAATAATTATAGTAATATCTAGAATTATGTGCCTCAAAGTAAATACATAGGCATTTAATTAAGGAAATTTTGATTTTTTAACACCTCAAAAATACACGAAAATGGTTTTCAACACCACAAAAAAAAAAAAAAAAAAAAATAACACCACCAAAAATTTTAAAAAATTGATTTTACCACCACTTAATAATTTCCGTCCAAAAAATCGTAATGTGTGGTCCACTGTGTCACGTGTCGCCATTTTATTAGTAAAAAAAAATTAAAAAAAAAAAAGAATCTAAATTTTTGTTTTTAAAAAAAAACCAAAAACCCTGGCCCAAAACTAACCCAGCCACCCCACCCCCACTGTCGGATGCACACCGCCACCCCGCCCCCACCCTGCCACCCCCAACCATTGGAAACTCCACCCCTCCCTTTCCCCCACCCCAAAACCGACAGCCCCTCCCCAACAACCACCAACAAACGCCCAACTGTTTTTCAAACTACCTAAAATACGGCCACCAACGACAGCCGCTAACGGTCGAAATCGACCTTTTAAGCCCTAAATTGGCCGATTTCGACCGCTATAGGTCGTTTTTGGTGGCCGATTAAGGGGGTGTGAAAAGCACCGACCTATTTGGTGGCCGTTGGGGAGGGTAGCCGATTTTGGGAGGGGGAAAGGGAAGGGCAAAGTTTTCGGTGGTTTCGGCTGGGAACAGGGAGGGGTATAGTGGGGCAGTGGTGGCAGCGCTGCTGGTGGAGATTGGGGTGGCTGGGTTGTTTTTGTTTTTTTTTTAAATTTTTTTATTATTTTGAAACTATAAAATGCTAACATGTACGCCTTATGGGTCTCACTAACGGATTCCATCCAAGAATTCGTTAAGTGGAGGCAAAAACCAATTTCTTAAAATTTCGATGGTGTTAAATTTTTATTTTTATTTTTATTTTTTCTTTTTTTTATTATTTTTCTTTTTTTTTTTAGAAATCTAAATTTCCTTTAATTAATAAACTTATATTATAAAAATCCTTGGATAGATTTTCTTATAATCATATCATGATTAAGATATGTAAATAAGAACCTAATCATAGTGGGAAAAAATGTTATCTTTCTCCATTTCTCCTAGTAAAGATGGTAACAAAAGCGGAACACAAATTCTAGAATAAGAAGTACTTTCATTAATAAGAAGTACCTTAAAAGTATTTAAAGTTCCATAAAATACAATTAAACTGATTAGAAGTTTAAGTTACCCTTACATATTACACAATAGGTAAAAGTTACCATAAAATTTGTTAAAAATTATCCTCAAATTAACTGTTTTAATAATATTGACGAATGTCTGCCGTATACAAGAGTTATTGAAGGGGGGGGGGGGGAAATAAAGCAATTATAACAGAACCATTGTTCAGGAGTTCATGAAAATGTATACATATATTAGCTTCAATCATATGAACATAAAAATTAACAATGAACGAATTTTGAGGCCACAAGAATCGTGCATAAATTACCAAGAGCGACTCATATCCCAAACCTCTTCGTACCACATTCTGAGCAGAACTTGGAAGTCGGTCTCAAGTACGGAGATCCACATTCATCACAAAACTTTGCGGGACTAGTTGGCTGAAAAAGACGGGAAAAAATGAAAAAAAAAAAAGGGGGGGGATAAATCACAGGTAATTAGGAAAAAGTATCTAGCATACAGAAAGAAACTGGAATTTCGAAGTCAATAAGTCATAAGATTATGCCAACTTCTCAGGAATGCAAAATAGTAATACTGTTTTTTTTTTTTTTTTTTTTTTTGCAAAAACATAACCCTCACTGATCAAAAACTTCTGAAAGGACATGCACATTAGAAACTGGCTACTGGTCAAAAGGCATCATTGACAATGCTTTCAATTCATATAATTCTCTAAGTAATCTTGAACTTGAAAGTTTATATGCCTCACAAACTTTAAGAGGTGACCAAAACATCAGCAAAATGGAGCAGTTAAGATTATATAAACACACTATGAAGCAATTCTCCATCTAAAATACTCCTTTAACCCATTAAAGGTTGGCATGTGTAGGGTCTGGGTAGCCTGAACTCTGAAGCTAGTCCACTCCTCGAATAAGTCCGGAAAATCTGCCATATGTTAGTTCTGATACTCCCTTACAAGATCTTTTTGGTGACTAAGCCACTAAGCGATTACAAATATCAGCAGATTTAGCTATATGTAATGGTCTCTCACAGAGTTCCTCTAAGAGTTAATGCATAAACTACGAACACAGGTCCTTGGGTATCAACCAAAATACAGCCTCTCACGGAGTTCCTCTAAAGTTAACGCATATGTAAGGGTTTTTTAAGCAATCAAGTGGGGTGGGGGCTGAGGGGGCAACTGGTTAGGCTAGTTAGAACTAGACATGAATAATAACTCTCCACCCCCATAAGACAGCAACCAGTGAAAGAATTGACTTAAAATTTTGCTTCAGAATAAAATGGAAATGAAAATTTGCTTCAGAATAAGATGGAAATAATGACTTATGGAAACAGGTAATATGAATAGACATAAGAAAACTTACCATCACATGTAAACGACCTACTACATGACTTCCTCCTAGAGACTCTAATGATGCCATGTTCTGAGAAAAAGTCGGAGATTCATGGCCATGAGCAATGTCTGGTAAATGGGAAGATTGCCCACTTTCATGAGTGCAAGCTAAGAGAGTAGCCTGTTGATTCTGGTTAAGAGACTGATGATGATTAAGGATAATGGTATCATATCGTGGCTGGCGAGCCAATGTCACCAAAGAATGTTTGGATGGTGTCTCCTGCTCCCGTGGATTCTGCCATATGCACTTTAGCAGCATTAATCACAGAGGATAAAATAAAATTAAAAAAATGTGGTTTTCAGCATAAGACCAAAGCTTGGCATCTTTAATTAACTTATTTTGTATATGAGTTGGATAGTGAAAAGGGGAGAAAATTTCTGAAAGACAGGAAGTACAAACAGATTGCTGTCGGAAAGAAAGGTGTGGTCCTAACTTTTGAGACCAGATACTTAGGTTCAGGAGGTTGGAAGATTATCCTGAGATGGATTTGGCTATTCAGTAGGTTCACCAGATTGAGAAGAATGATTGTAAGGCCAACAATTTGAGCATATACTGAAGCGTTCATTCTGGACTAGATAGTACTCTTATCTTCACATTAGACTCATACTGCCATACCTCACAAACTTTTTCTGTTTGTCTTAATTCAGTTAAGCATAACTAACCCACTTTACTGTCTTCTAACAAGTGCTGTAAGTATTTTCTAATACTAGTATTTTTTTTGGTAAATGGATCCCTAACCAATTATCAATAGAAGTTAATAAACATAAACAGAAGGTATGCTAAGATATCAATATTTTAAATCAGAAATTTCCACCCAGAAAATTAACCCACACTGCCCTCCCTTTAGAAAGAGGGATGCTAAAGACACTATCAGCAGAAGGATTTTTAATATAGAACTCAGAAAGTCGAGTCAGCATACCTCTGTTGCAGACTGGAACTCGTGATCACTGTTGCTATTGTATGACTGATAAAAGATATATCAAGCTTCATCAACAAGTTTCATATTGTAGAAATAAAACCACATACAGATGAGAAATGAGCTTACAAGCAAACCAGGGACAGTCGGTGAAGTGTTTGATAAAGCACGCCTAACTTTATGCCTTGGGTTGTAAAACTTATAGTCCCTAGCTGTAATTGCTATTTCAGTCCGACCTGTCAAACGCTTGAACCTGTAAGATCACGAACGCCATTTAACATAGATGATCAACCACTTGCACCTTATATAGATGATCATATTTATAGCTTTCTTTGGAGCTTTTTTCTACCGTTAATACACTATCACATATACAAGCTAAGAAGAATTCCAACATACTTTAGAGCACGACATTCATGCAAACTAAAAACTGCTGAAATAAGGTGTTCCAAATCTAAACTGCATGGAAAGATGCCTCAGATAGTCAAATTTACAGATATATAATTATCTTATTAAATCTTCATAAACTAAGGCACTTTTGACTTTATTTCCAAACGCTCTTTCATCTAAACAGTAGAAAGTTCCAAATGACCTATCAAAGCAAAATAATCACTGTAGATACTACTTGGGCAAGGACATCAATAAATATTTAACATGTGTAACCACAATAGGCTACTGCAAGCATGTATAAATGACAGAAACTAACCATTCTGCATCATCAACAGGAACAACAGTTGGTCTCTCAACAATATCTAAGCCATTGGCCACCACAAAACGAACCCTCTTCTCTTCTTGGACAACTAATTCTGGAAACCTAGTCCTTGTTTCGAGAGAAGTAGCCAATTCCCGTCGTTTAAAAGAATAAGAGCCTATGTTTCACAGGATGCATAAAATGTTAGACAAAAAACTTAATAAGATGAAAGAAACATCCAGGAGATGTATACATTTTTTATGAGCATGAAAAAGAATTCTAGACTTTCTAGTTTCTCAAGCTGCAAAGTTAGGCTAGTTCAAACACACATAAGTTTCTGATTTTTTAACAGACCAATCCTCTGCCATATATGCTAAAAGACCGACTTTCATATCAAAAATATCCCGCTTCGGTAAAAATGCTTTTAAAGACATTATAACATAGAAATAAATGTTTGTGCAACAGGAAAGTACATAACAATATAATGTTAAAACTAAACAACACTTGTATGAGATAATTCATTAATGAGGTACAGACCCTTTCCTTAACCAAGAAAAGGTTTATGCGACAGGAAAGTACACGACGATAAAATGTTACAAACTAAACAATACATGTATAAGATAATTCATTAATGAGGTACAGACCTCTTCCTTAGCCAAGCAAAGGTGGGTACCCATTGAGGCAGAAAATGAAATTTATGAAGGCTGGGCTCCGAGCCAAGAGCTACAGATTTATTTCCCTATAAATATGAGTCAAGCAAAATAAAGAGCAAACCATAACATGATTTCATTAGATATACCCTTAGAACTATAGATATTGCAAGGGTCAAAGAACAAGTAGCCAGTGGCCAATCACAGCTACCATGCAGTGAAAGGAATACTAAAGAGTAGTAACATCTGATTGGCTTGACTGGGCAATCAGAATTACTCAGATGCAAAGAAGTGTAAATTGCTAATATATACCATTTGAATAGGAAAGCAGATGGACAGAGAAATTGCTCATTTGCTACTGAACTATTTTTAAATTTGTGTTTGCTATTCCTGTAAAAGCATCAAACCATTCAGCGACGCTGATGTGAATCAAAAAAGCTAGTTGGTTTCATAAATAAAGACTTGTTTTGCAAGGGTCTAGGCAGGACAAAGGCCAATTGCAAGGAAGGAACTGCAGGGTGGGGGGGAATCTGTTAGCCAGCAACAAGCAGTGTAGGCCCACTGTCTATGGAGTTAAATATGTAGACAGTGTTAACCTGGAAGGCTTACACAGAGTTTATATAGTTAGGCATATGTTCTTAATATTATTTAGAAGATGAAGGCTCTGATTCTAGAAACTGTATCCGACCTAAATAATACCTCTGATATGAATTGTTCAAAACTAATCTATTTTGTTATCTCACACTAATTCGCTTGAATTTTTTTTATGCTATCCCTCACTATTAAGCAATGAAGAGATAAGCCAACAAAAAAAGCTAAAAAGCTAAAATATGCTACCTGTTTTAGGATATTTCTGAGTCAACTTTCTGTAGAGCCCGCCAGATGCTTCTAGAGCTACTCCAATAGTCTTTTCACGCAAACCATTTAATAAAGCAATTCTTATGTTCGCTTCACTCACCAGAGTTTCGTACAAATTAGCCACATACATCAGCGGCAAAACAAACCTTGGATCTCCTTCATATTGAACTTCAGCAGACTTTCTCTTGTTTGATTTATCACCTCCAGGCTCAACAATATTATCAATATAAGCACCCGGCTTCTCAATAGTATGCTCAGTGATAAAATTATCCACAACAATTTGCAAGAATCTTGCCCTTGCAGTTTCAATTGGCAAAACATCTAATACAAATATAATTCATATAAGTTGTTTGAGCAAGTGAAGAATAAAGCACTATAAAAGATGCAAATGCTGAAGCAAACTAAGACATATACAAGTATGTAACATGTTCAGATTTACCCTTTGCTGTTAAGGCATGACAGGAATTTCTTAGAGACCCACTACTTTCTAGACTAGATCGATCATCTTCAACACCAATGTTAGGAATCTGAATTGGGGTCTTGTATACCTCATCCAAGCAATCCTGGATAAACACAGAAAGGCGAATCAAACCTAAAATTGAAAACTCATCGATGAACATTTAAAACTAGTCGAAGATTCAACCTTTAAACCCTTTATCCACAGTTTCAAAAGGGTCAACTACTCAGCTCATACAAGTATACAACAAAATGCACAACATGTTAATCATTACATATTCCAAAATTCTATACATTTTGGACCAAATAAACATTAACTGAACAAAAATTCATGATTAAAAATTTAATCTTTATCCCCTCCTTTCACATTAACTTATTGCAAATAAAGTCACAATTCCCACAAAACACCAAATTTTTTGTGACCAACTTTTTCCCTACTCTCTCTGAAACATTCCAATAAATCAAAGAATGACCCAGAAAATTATGTCAAATAAGCACATGTAGCATACACAAAGACAATCACAATATAATTAGCAGTTAATCACAAGATTAACCCACAAAATTTCAATCATAAAATAAAAACCAATCATTAACCCAAAAAAATGAACTTACAATGTTATTAGAGCCCTCCTCGTGATCTAAACTATTTTCAGTAATGGCATCACGATCACCGTTGCTAATTCTGTCGATTTTGCAGTCTTTTTTAACTTCATCTAAATTTCTCCCATCAATGTAAGAATCTACTGATCTTATATTGATATTATTATTAACATTATTGATGTTACTTTCATCATTATCAATGCTACTATGATTATGAATTGGAACCCTAGATTCCATATCGCTTTGTAATCCTACAATCCCATCAATTATCTCACCTCAAATACCCAAACCCATGATTTTGATTTGGATTTTCAGCTTTATTTCTAATCAAATTTCGTGAATAAATGAATAGGGTAATCGAATTTTGAAGTGCATTTTCGCGCCAGACGAAGACGGAAAAGGACTTTTTTAAAAAATTTAATTGAAATTAACGGATATACAGACTGAGAAGAGTGATGAGAGAGAAAATGGAGGTTGATGAGAGTGAAGGGGTGACCGGAGCTAAGACCATACCAGTAGTATAAACAACCAAGGAGAAATTGAGGAAATTCCCAAACCTAATCCCGGTTTTTCTAAACCGGTTAATGGTGTCTTTGGTTTTTTTTTTTTTTTTTTTTTTTTTGAATGTAAATTTTGGGATCAGCAGGTCTTATATGGACCCGATCTACAATAAATTATTGTAAACCCAAAGTTTAATATTCTCTAATAATACAGTCACATTCTGAATGATATGTGATATAATCACTTTTTTAGATGATCTTGTGAGTCATACTCCCTCCGCCCCACATATATAGTTCTTTTATGTAAAGACCATTATACTTTTTTTTTTTTTTACTTTATTCATTAAATTTCCTAATTTACCCTTAACTTATACACTTGCATTTTACTTTTTCCACTTTCTCTCTTAACTTTTGTCTATAATTGTATTTTACACTTTTTTTTCCCCTTGAATTATACACTTGTCTTGTACTTTTGTCTAGCTTTTGTCCACTTTTAATGTAATTCTTCCACTTCTCCTCCCATTTTTAAATATCGTGAAAAAAAAAAACACAGTAGAAACTATATTATGGGACGGAGGGAGTATTTTGAATGGTATAATCGTATTTTAAACAATTTAGTGAGATGATACAATTATCTTTTGGATGATATAATTATTTTTCAAGTGATTTAATTACTGTTTGATACCTTTTTTAATGATGAATTTATTTTTTGAATGATACATTTACATAATCAGTTTTTGGATGATATAATTACTTTTGTAATGATATAATCACATTTTGTATGATATAATCACATTTCGTATGATATACTAGATGGTTGGGTGCTCAATAAGACTTTGCCTTTTTGGAATAAGCTAATTTTTAATTTTCAAAAATGATAAAATCGAAATTAAAAAGTGTAAAAAATACAAGTAATTTGTTTATATGTGACCTCGTTTAGGTTTTACTTTAGAAATACTAGATTACACAAATAAAAAGAATTAGTTGAGATTGTAGATTACTCAAGCTCAAATTGAACAAAACTTAGCTCGAGTAGTTTGGTCTCGAGACCAAGCTTTTTTGTCATTGTGATATTGGCCAAATGAGTTCATTTATTCCATTATTTATTACGGTGTATAGAAAATGCAAAATATCTATTTTTAATCTATTGTTTACTCTAAAAATGCTATTTCATATTAAGACGGAAAAAAATCACGATAATCTCAAGGTCGACTTAGTCATGAACTCAACTCGATAAAACCTTGGCTTAACTCGAGTTCGAACTCAAAATGTTAGTGAATTGAGTCAAACTAACTCAAACTTGAAGTCGACACACACCTAGTCAACCTACATGAAGTTATGAAATACTCCATAAAAGGTATTATATTACTCCGTAATGAGAAAATACAAGTTTATCTCCTCGATAAACAAAATATATTTGTAACAACTTTTAGTCAAATACGGGACCCACAGTTATTGATTTATTTACATAAATGTCAAGCTGACTCGACAAAATTTGATAAACAAAATATGTCTCCTCCTCCGTAATTTCGTAATTACACGAAACAGGTAATTCAATCTTTTGCATTTCCTGCTACCAAAAAATACCCCGAACCACATTTGGTGCTCCAATAGTCCAATCGCATAACCCACAGACCCTTAATTGCTAGCTTGGTGGCTGCTGCTGCTGTGACTCAGACTGAGTGTGTGGCTCGTCTTCCTCAAACGTTGAGACATCAAGAACAAAGCTAATTTTATACCAGGTTAAACACTTTTCTCACTCTTAAACCCCTAACTTTATTTCATTTTTGCTGAAGAAATTCCCAGTTTTTATTCATTTTTCTCACTGATAATTGATTGGATTTGTTTGAAATTTAGTAACAAGAAAAGATGGTGATGAGAATTCGATTATCTAGATTTGGGTGTAAAAATAAACCCTTTTATAGGGTTATGGCGGCTGATAGCAGGTCTCCTAGAGATGGCAAACACATCGAAGTTCTTGGTTACTATAACCCTCTTCCAGGTTTCCTTCTCTTTCCCATTTCCCCCTATTTTCATATATTAAATCTTGGATTTCTTTTATTGATTTTATATTATTTTTGGTTGAATTATTTGATATATGTAGGTCAAGATGGGCAAAAGCGAATGGGGCTTAATTTTGATAGAGTGAAGTAAGTGATTATGCATTTCAAATTGCTCTTTTTTTTCGAATTTGATTGTTTAATCTGTTGCATTATTGTGTGATTCTTGTTAATATATGCGCCTTGAAAAATGTTTTTTAGAGAAGAATTTGGTAAATTAGGCTGCATTTGTGTGGACTCTAGTGTGTGAACTTAAATCGCAGATGACAATGTAGAAAAACTCGTCTAGTTTCGACCTTAATATGAATTTAAGTTGATCATTGCTACTGATGATAAGCTAAGTGAAGTAGACTTTTGAGGGGTATGAAGATAATGGGTTTGTCCCCGAAGAGTTTGCTGTTTGCCTCTATATGATCTTTTTCCTGGTGCAAGTGCTTGGCCGGTGCTATCTGTTGAGCTAACTCATATAAGGATCATTTGCTGCTGTCCTGCCAAAAATAATTTCAAGAGGGAAAAGTTTTTCCATTGTCCTGTATCTAAGATTCTAAGGTCTCAGTTGTGTGTTTGAAACCAATTAGCATCGTCGTTTATGTATGATAGGAAAATGTGTGCAAGCTGCAACAGTTAGTTATTTTTATTCAGTTCACATTTCGTGTTTATTTAGGCACTTGGGTCTTGGTGACATGAACGTATGGAAAGTAATGTTGGCATCCCAGATATCAGATACTTGGTGATGCAATTATACTTCTGGGAAAGATTGGGTAGGGTCATTGGGATGGGGTCTGGAGGGAGTTGGTGGGTGCTAGTATGCTGCGATTTGCATTTTGTAAATGGTTTGTATCAATACTAAGTCTTATAACTACAGATAAAAATAGCTTAATTCAACTGCAATTTCTGCAGTCCAGGCATGCCCATATTATATACTCTCAATTTTTAATCATAGAGCACTATATGGAAATTGAACTTTTTCTAGAATCAGGCCTTATCCATCATTTTTTTCTTTAATCTATTATGTATAAAGTATTTGGTCTCAAGTCTCTGTTACTTGTTGATGTTATCTTTATTTCTATTGTCGATTTCTTGGTTAGGTTTCCTACTCTAAGCTTTAGCTTGGTTTACTAGGTCTATGAACAAGTTCTGTCTAGTGTACGGGTATCCTCATTTTGTGTTCTGTACACTGTCCATAATGTTTTTATACGAAGTATAACACTTGAGTGAAGGCTAATTCCTTTGATATCAGACCCTTTCTGACCTTTAGAAGCCCATTAAACTCTTATGGTCACAATCATGAGGTACTATTGATGGTTGATGAATCTCGACAAAAACAAGACGGTAGCTTATTAATGTCATTTTATGGCCCCAAGTAGTAGATGATGATGATCACAGGATCCAACATTATAATATGAAAATACTCATGTTCAAGAGTCTCTTTGCAATGTATGTGGTAACTCTTAAGCTAGTAAAAGGGAAGAGTTTCTAATTTCTAGGCTAGCTCTAGTGACCTTAGTCACCATTTAAACCATATTTGACGTAGGACCAAAGTCGCCATAGCCACTGAACTTGAAATATATGGCTCAAACCTGTGAAAATTTTCTAATAATCTGTTGAAACTCGAAAAGAAATTTGAGTGTAGTCTTCTTCAACTGTCATAAGGAAAGGACTCTGGAAGAGATGACACAAAATTTGTATCAATGACCCCAACCAATAAAGGTCCATAATCATGCTTAGGGGACTTATTTGGCATATTCATGGAAGCTTTTCTGCTGTTGTTCACTGAGAGTTTGTAATTTTTGGAGTTCCATATTAATATCTGAACCTAAGCCTAAAATTGTTGGCAAGAACCTAATTTTGAAAACTATAACATATTCCTGTGACACTCTTTGATTCAATTATTTAGATCTTGCCAAACAAGCAGAGTGAAACCTCTCTGGGTGCTTGTCTACAGCTCCACAATCTTGGTCATCCAACTAATAATACTATGATAGCATTGTCCCCAACAACAATTTTGGTTGACAAGCTAAGCCTATTTATTATGGCCTGCAGATTCATGTTCTGTGTTGAAGGATGGGTTATGTCAATGCAATAACTAAAAAAAATCAATGCAAAAACTATCTCTTGTTTTTGTCTTGACACTCCTTTTTGGGCAAATTTGATCTTGTGTTTGTCTTGACACTCCATTGTGCACAAATGTATTTGATCTTGTTTTTGTCTTGACACTCCTTTTTGCACAAATGTACGTAGTATAATGTTTTCTTTAGCGTTATATTCAATCAATCAATCAAAGCTTTAATCCCATAAGTGGGGTCGGTTACATGAACCAAAAGTGATTATTCTGTATAATTATCACCCAAAATCTTCTTCCTCTATCCCTTATGATCAAATACCTCATTCTCATGCAAATCCATATGCTTCATATCCTTCCTAACTCCTTCCAACCAAGTCATGATACTTATCTGGAATTTCATCCATCCCTTTTTTTATAAAGTAATTATTGTTCTCTTTCCATTTTAGATTTCTCAATTTTAATGTTTCATCATCTAATGCTCTAATGGAAGTTAATACACTATGTTACCGCTCTTTAAAATGAGCATTCAGAAAAATCATGATGGTTTGGTTCTTTACATATTGGTCTTGATTGCTATATATGCTTCACTGAAGTAGGATGCAATATAGCTGTAATTTGTGATACTTTGGTTTTGTACTCTGGAATATGATGCCATAAAAATGAATGTAAATCATTTTGTCTTCCTCATGTGATTTTGACATACTCCTTAGGGCATGCTTGGATTGAGGGAGATAGTGATGGTGTGATTGTGAAAATAGGGAAAGAGGAGATAGTGATGGTGTGATTGTAAGGAAAATTATGTAGTGATGGTGTGGTATAAGGTGAAGAAAGAGGCTCATTTTGGGGGTAAAAGTTACACTAGTGGGAGGGTGGGTAACTATTACCCTCATTATGAGGGTAATAATTCCTCCATCTCTCTCTTTCCCTCGTGGCACAACTACCTTATTTTATTTGTAAACACCATGCCTCATACAACACCACCTCTAATTACTTATGTTTTTTCAAGTTTGACTTTTATTACCCCTTTAATATATTACCCCCAATCCAAGCAAGGCATTAATGGAAAGTTTCTCATGTATGAGACATGTGGATATATGATCCAAAATGTTATTTCATTGTTTGGTGAGGATATCTGGCTTCGAGCTGCTAGAATTAGGCCCTCATATTCTTATGGTGTTTGCTTTGGCGATAATTTGTGAATGTGATGGGATCTCCTACGAACATTTACTCCTTATGTTGGAAGGATTTTCTTTCATCTTCCAAATTATAAATCTGGAATGTATTACTGTTTCACTGTACCTGTGCTATGTTCAAACACAATATTCCAAGGAGCAGCAGCATTGAATCTGCCCCTGCTTCAAAAAGATAGGCAATACTGTTCTGATTGATTGATTTTTATTTTTTTTTATGTTGCCCCTTCCTCTTGTTAGACTATTCTTATATTTTGTTGGGATGTGAGGTATCCTGGGATGGAGGTTGCTTGTGGACTCAAATTGAAAACATGCAGTTTAAAATGTTAATTGCTCATTTCACTTTGGCATGCTGATTTATTGACCCTAGGTTTTTTTTTTCAATCGATTATCTTGTTATTTTCTTGTTCCTTTTCGGATGGTTACTTGCGACAATTCATGTTAGCCGACCCCAAATCATTTTGGGACTAAGGCTTTGTTGTTGGGGGAGGGGGGTGTAAGTGTGGGTGTGGGTGTGGGTGGTGGTGGTGGTGGCTGTGGGGCAGTTCAAGCTGTGTTGATATGAACTGTGTGATTCATCTACCCACAGGGATGATTGTAGATGTTGCATTTATAAGAGCCAGTCAGAATTGTTGGACTTGATTTGACTAATTTTGCTTGACTTGAGTTGTGTTTTGATCCTTTGCAAGCGTCTCTTGATTTTTTTCTTTAAACCCACTATCAACAGGTATTGGCTTTCAGTTGGAGCCCAGCCATCAGATCCAGTTCAGCGAGTTCTGTTTAGAGCCGGGTTGCTCCCTCCTCCTCCAATGATGGCCATGGGACGCAAAGGTGGGCCACGTGATACCCATTTTGTTGATCCCATGACTGGACGTGTTTTGACTCCAGGAAAGCTTAGCAGCTCAGAGGATTCTGAGAATCCCAACATCGATGATGCGGAAATAGTAGATACCCCAACCACTTCATGATGTATTTTCTCATAGGTTTTTAGATTTTAAAGCAGACAACCCTTTCTGCAGTTTGTAGTACAAGTTTATGCTTGATTACAATATACGAAGTGCTTGGATTACATTGTGTGCGTGGAGGATTCCTGTCAATGCCTCCTCTTTTTGGTTGTAAACTTGTCAAAAGAAGGTTTATCATTGATGTTGAATAAGTATTTCTATTGCTTGGCAAATCCTGTCTGTAATAATCAATAATGTTAAAGGTCTCATTGCACTCTGAAGAGTCTCTTCAGATACATCTGTTAGAATTGGACGATTTAGGAACCGTGAATGTTTTGTTCCTAATTTAATATCCTGCAAAAAATCTCCCTTTCATTTATTTGTTTTTGTGAAGCAGACAATGACCTCTGGAAAAGCATAAAATTTGTAGCAGAAACACAATAATTTCAGGGGTAAGCACAAAGATTTATCAAACTATTCTTGATTTGCCTGCCTGGAGTTTCATAGGAGAAACACAATGATTTAACAGCAAGCACAATATTTATGGCCTTATGGGCCAGTTACATCCTTTTCTTGTTTCCCTCCAAGACCCCAAGTCAAACTACATGGGGTAGAGTTGGTTTAATATCTCTTAAACTACTTTTTCTCTCCCTCTCCCTAGATACGTCCCCATAGATACTACCGAGTAATATTCAATAAAGAAGTTAATTGTTTGTTATAAATATGAGCATTAATATATACTTAAGGCACCAAAGTGAAAAAAAACAGTATAAAATAGAATTATCAAACCACGGACACCATAGTGAAACAGAGTTTATAAACTTAATGCACCAAAGTGGAATTATGTCAATCCTCAAAGCACCAAAGTAGAAATTTTCACTTATAATACTTTGTGGTGCTATGCAATATATGCACGGAGTTATTGTGAAAATACAATGGGAAAACTAATTGGGAAAATTACATGCAGTCGATGTAGGCACATAACATATGAGATAAATCTGAACATTTATGATAAATTAAAATCAAAACTAATATAAAAAGGAAAAATGAAAATGCAACTATCTCCTCGTCAATTAATATAGATGAAAAATTTATTTTTCGACAATAAGAGAAATTGACATAATTTATTGTTGAAAGAAACCGACATAGCAAAGATCTTCTCTTTCCACCTACTCTATCAAAGTAAGAGAATTGCTTGAAAAGATCCATATGGGCTGATAGCAACAATTGGCTACTTTAAATACAAATTACCTTTTACATATTGACGACTAATTTTTTTTCTCGATTAAAGCTTATTGTATAGTTCTTTGAGAATTAAGGGGTTAGACTCGCTTTCCACTAAACTAATTGACAAATGCATTTCAATACTAACTCCAAATCTGGACAGAACTTCTTTAATCATTATTAGGATGACTATATGTGGTAATTTTCTTAAAGTTTTAATGCTAGTACATGCTCCATACCTTTTACAGTAGGAAATGTAACGAACACGAATCAATCAATCAGATCATCACTATTAAAAGAACTTATTATAACCGCAATTAAAGCTATCAAAGAATTTCTTCATCATAAAGTAGATACTCACCACAGTCATTAGATAATAAAACCGCAGTTAAAGCCATGTTCATTATGTAAGACCGTTTTCTTAATTGGAATACCGCAATTAAAACCAGGTAATGTAATGAACAAGTTGCATTGTATATTTGTATTCCATTTAAGAAGTTTGAACATCATCAATGCCAGCTAAAATCTCTGAATTATCTGCCACAATCATACTCTCGTACCATCAAAAAATTCAAACCAAACACTTCACAGCTCACAGTCTCACACCCAACAACTTGTAAAAATTAAAGAAAATAAAAACCCAAAAAAGCATTTGGATTCGGCGGGAAAAAAGCCCAAAACCCCAACCACGTAATCATTAAAATTAAAAAAAAAAATCAGTTTTTTTTTAAAAAGTACCGTATTATTTAAGTGGGTCCCATTTCCCATCCCCTTTTTTCTCTCACATAAATACACTCTTTGAACCCTTTATCTTTCTCTCTCTTCCGCTCAAAAATTAGGGTTTTTGAGCTTCCGAAACACCAGAACTTTATCCCTTTCTTTCTCACTCCTCTAAAATGGCCAACAACGATATCAACATGTCCACCATCGCCGCCGGTATGTTCTTCGCTTAACCCTAATTCTTTATTTTTTCGTCTTCAATTTTTTATTTTTTATGATTTTTTTGTTTTTCAATGTTTTTGATTTCGATTTTTGATTATTTTCTGTAGCTCTTAATTCAGCGGATAAATCAGCAATTCTTAACGCTCTTAAGGTTATTCACTCAGTTTTAATTTGTCTATTCACTTTTTTGTTAAATTCTAAGGGTTTTTTTTTTTTTTTTCCTTTTTTGTGGATTTTTGAATTCTTTTAGGGTTTAAGCTTTTTTTTTTTTTTTTTTTTTCAGGCTGCTAAGGCTGAGAATGAATCAATTCTTGATAAGTTGCCGCCTAATGTTCAGAAGCGTGTAGAGGTTTTGAGGCAGATTCAGGTACTTGATATTCCATTTTTTGGTTTAAATTTGAAATTATTATTTGTATATATTTTATTTTTTTTGAGGAATGAAATTATTATTTGTATTATTGTTATGCGAAATTGCGAATGTGATGATTTTGCCTGATATATACCAAATTCGATGTAGCAGCTTTAGAAAAATATATTCCTGTTTTGTAAGGGTTTAAATTTGCCCTGTCCGAGCACTGGTAGGAAGAATGGCTGGTAGACTTTGGGTGACAGTGGTAGACATAGTACGCATTTGATTGATCTTCGGTTAAAAGCACTTTTTTTTTTTTTCCGTATAACAGTAGCTTAATTTGATGCCTGATTAAACAATAGTATCCTTGTTTTTTCTTTTCACTCGTGCGGATAGGAAGATTGGTCAATTAGGAAGGTTTTGTGTACAAAATCTGGTTCGAGAAATTAATGGTATGTTTCCGGTGTTTTGTTTAATGCCCTTCTATTGACATGCTGGTTGTTTAGGAATGTGAAGCCTTTCTAATAAGATAATAAATAATATTAGCTTCCCACGTGTTAACGTCATTATTATTCATAAATGTTTGTAAACACTAACATGGTAAGAAATTCTTCAATAAGAAGTTTATCCTGTATTCTCACTTTTCTTACTTTTAATCTAATGTTTGGTGGTTGTTCCTGAAAAGTAAAACTTCCAATATGAAGCTCTACAATTTATTAATATGACAAATATTGGTACGAGTAAAATAAGTCCTATTGTTAAGTAGCTGCCCCAATTAAATGAATGCTAAAATTAGCTTTACCTTTTTCATTGACAGAGTGACCATGATGAACTCGAGGCTAAGTTCTTCGAGGAGAGAAGAGCTCTTGAAGATAAATACCAGAAATTATATCAACCACTCTACACGAAGGTATGCTAATTATGATACTTCTTGATCTCAATTTACTCTGTAGTCTGAAATTTACTACTGCTAAGAATATCGTGTTAACTACTTTCTTCTGAGGATATATATGAACTTGATTTTAAATTAGTGTGTGTATTTTCATCAAGTAGTGTTGTTGTACTCAATCATGCATATTTTACCACAATATGTGGAGATCAGAACTATGGAAGCCCAAGTTATTTTAGTGCGCCATTACCTTGTTGGAGCTTTTGAATTGAAAGCTATATTTATCGAATGTTCGGAAAGCTTAATTTGCTTGATTTGACATCTCATTTCAAGAAAAGTTGTTAAATTCCTTAATCAACATTGGTGTACTTTTGCAGAGATATGAAATTGTCAACGGTGTTGTTGAAGTTGAAGGAGTTGTTAGTGAACCAGCAACAGAAGAAGCTGATAAAGCTGCTGAAGGTACTTAATTGAAATTCACTATTATGTATATATTTGAAGTTAGAAATGTTTCATGTTTTTCTTTGTTTAACATTAGAAATGTTTCATGTTTTGCTTCTTGTTTAATTCAGAGAAAGGAGTGCCTAATTTCTGGGTCACTGCAATGAAGACTAATGAAGTGCTGGCTGAATCAGTGAGTATCTTATGATGTCAGCTTTATTTACTACTTGTCCTCTACTTTTGTTGCTCTTTTATTTACTTATTTATTTATCTATATGACTATAGATCCAGGAGCGTGATGAAGAGGCTCTCAAATATCTTAAAGATATAAAATGGTCTAGGGTTGAATTGCCCAAGGATGATGTTCAAAAGGGTGAAGCTTCAAAGGGATTCAAGCTTGAATTTTTCTTTGATCCTAATCCTTTTTTTACAAATTCTGTTTTGACGAAGACATACTACATGATTGATGAAGATGAACCTATTTTGGAGAAAGCCATCGGGTATGTAGCTTCCTTGCCTTATCCACTGCTTTTAATGATTCAATATTTTTACTGATGGCAATTGATACTTTTAGGACGGAGATAGAGTGGTGCCCAGGAAAATGCCTCACCCAGAAGGTTTTGAAGAAGAAGCCAAAGAAGGGTTCTAAGAATTCCAAACCCATTACAAAAACTGAAGCTGTTGATAGCTTTTTCAATTTCTTTAGCCCCCCTGATGTCCCAGAGGATGAGGAGGAGATTGACGAGGATGCTGTGAGTTGTGCTTCACTGTGTTAAATAGTTTGAGTTGTTGAAGCACTTTACTTAGTCCATTCGATTTAAATTTTACTTTTTTTAACAGGCTGATGAGCTACAGGCCCTTATGGAACAAGATTATGATGTAGGGTAAGCTCATGATCTTCTATTCTGCTTAACAGCTCACCTGATGTCATGTTGTTGGCTTAGTTACATACAAAGTATATGAGTTCAATTTGATTTCTCACACCACCTTCCTAAAGGGTATTTATTATTTGGTTATTATTCCGTGACTTCATCCTCTTATAAAAGCTGAGTAAGACTTTCATTTTATTGTCCACAGGTCAACTATTCGTGACAAAATCATTCCCCATGCTGTTTCATGGTTTACTGGGGAAGCTGCTCAGGATGATGACTTTGTGCTAGGTGAGGACGATGACATTGATGAAGATGACGAGGATGAAGATGAGGATGAAGACGACGAAGATGAGGATGAAGACGACGAAGATGAGGATGATGATGAGGAAGATGACAAACCCAGCCACCAGAAGAAGGTAAGGCAACTAAAAGAGATTTTACTCTTGCCAAAGATCAAGTAACTAGGACTTTGCAGTTTGCTTCTCTCTTGTCATTGTATTTCTGTGTTTCTTCTGTACTCACCATATATATCTACCCCCAAGTTTCTTCTGCATTGATGACTATTTTTTGGGCTTCAATTGCATTTAAGTACTTTTATTTGCTTGTCTTGTTTTTCCAAATTTCTTCCTCAACTCATCGATAACACCTCCCTTTCATGAAAAGGGGATTATAGAAGATAAATTAGGAAAGCTGAAGAAGTTTTGCATTTGATTAACAGTAAATTGTTGGGCTATTTTTGCAGAGAGGTGCAAAGACATCAGGTGTTGCTCAGCAATCTGGTGAAAGGCCACCAGAGTGCAAGCAACAGTGATTTTATTGTGGGGTGTGTTAATTGATGATTGTCGATTGGGAAGAGCAGCAAAATTTTGGATTTATCTTTTTTATTTTCCTTCATTTGTTATTAAAATTATCGAAGGATGCCCATACAGGTGTAGTTTCTAGTCGTTTCTATTTTTATTTTCATGGATGAGACAACCGAGTATTAGTTCGCAAATGGTGTGTAATAGGGAATTTGTCAAAACAAATATCTATATTATATCTTATATTGGTGAAGCATTTGCTCTACCGAGATTTTGTTTAAGAAACTGTCCTGAGCAACTTTGATATGGGGTATGTGCTCACTGCTCAGTGATTCAGTGAATACAGTAGATGATATTAAGTTTTTGTTGTTGTATGTGCTTTATTTTTATAATATTTTTTCAATATATAAATTTAATTGTAAATATATTAAATTATCAATAAAATTAATAAATTACAAAAGTTGATGCTTAAAAGTAAACATTTATAGGAATCTAAAAATTAGTCAAAGACTTAGAGTTGGTAAAACTTGATATGATAACATGACATGAACTTGACATAAAAATATTAAGTTAGTGTCAAGGGTTTTTACATGTTTAATTTTTACGAATTAATATGACACGACCTGTTTATTTAAACAGGTTGGGTTAGCGTAGAGATTCTTAATACAAAATTTACACGACTCAACTTGTCTAAGAATAAAAAATCTGATAAATTATGGAATCTTCCCATTGTTTGATCAAATATGACACGATTGCCAGCGCTAGTCGAGGCTGGCTTTAGTCAAAGTAGAGTATGTGAATTTGATTTAGAATTTTTCTATATGATAATATAGGCTATGTTCACAATCTACGGGAGAGACTAAGATAGGAGTAAATGATTGGTGTATGTAATGTTAGATCTTTTTGTATATTTTGACAATTATCACCTATAATTGTTGTTGTTTTAGGAATTACCACTTACGGTTTCTTTTTTTGAAATTTACCATCTACATTTTTCCAAATCACTAAAACTTCCCACCACTTTGACCAACCCCTCAAAGATGACGTCATCCTTGCTATTTTCCTCCGTTTTCTTTTTTCTTCACTCGACTCTCACTTCCCTCTTCTTCCACTTCCATCTACATTGAGGCATAGCTTGAAATCGAATTGCTAGAAACAAAATTTAGGTTTTAATAATAATCTCTCTTGCTTCAACACTCCAATAATTACTTAATTTGGGGGTTTTCAATTGAATTAAGGGTTTAGGGTTTTCACTTTGAGAATTTAATTATTGGGTTAGGGTTTTTAATTTGGGAATTTAATAAGTGATTTAGGGTTTGGGATTAATTTGGGGGGTTTCAATTGCATTGAATTTATGGTTTAGGGTTTTCAATTTGATTACAACTAAACGAAAATTGATTAAACTCTAATTCTAATTGATTGATTTCAACAACATAATCAAATTCCCAAATTGATTAAATCTTATATCAATTGAAAAACTCCTAAATTATGTCGTTCAGAACATGAATTTTTCAGACATACCTTTTTCGTAACCGCAATGGAGATTCGAAGCAAGAACAATCTTTTTTATTTTAGCAATTTGATTTTAGTATTTGTGCAGAATTAAAAAGGAGATGAAGAAGAAAGACTAAATATCAAAAGGGCAAGGAGGGAAAATGAAGGGAAGACCGATTGTGGGCCCCACCATGATGTCATCTTTCATAATGGTGGAAAGTTTTATCATTTTCATAAAATGTGGGTGGTAAGTTTCAATAAAAAAAAAAACTGTAGGTGGTAATTCCTAAAACAGCAACAATTGTAGGTGGTAATTGTCAAAAAATCTTATCTTTTTATTTGCGTTTGTTTATCGACTTTATCACTTTAGTGTATCTAAATAAATCATTTTATCTATTGTGACTAATGCGACAAAAATTTATATTATAACATTTGGTTTTTATATAGTACTTCGTAGTAAAGAAATCAAGTCAAAGTTAGGCTCCGTTCACTTCACCTTATTTTTGCTGAACTGAAATTATTTTTACTGAACTAAAATTATTTTTGCTGAACTGAAATTATTTTTACTGATTTTCTATTATATTTCTTCTTTAAAGTCACTGATTTTTACTGAACTGAAATTATTTTTACTGAATATTAGTTTTTTAAAGTGAAGTGAACAGAGCCTCTGTATATGTTGTATAAAAGTCAAACTGATGCACTTATTCAGGTTTTATTGAATTAAGTCAAAGTGATCAAACATATTCATTTTTGAAAAATATCATTTGTATTGAGTATTACTTTATTTATTTTTATTTTTTGTAAAAAAAAAAAACAGTATTACTTGTAGTTCGTTTTAAAAAAATACAGTATTTTCCAAAATGGCAAAATAACACATACAAACTATTAATAAAAAAAAGGAAAAAGAAGAGAATCGTGATTGATACTTTTTCCTCTTTCATTAAAATCTACTAATTTCTTACTAATGGTCGAAGTTATATATACAAATCACCTGAAAGACAAAACTTTTTGAAGTTGATTTATTTTAACATTTCATAGTATTTATGTCACCTTTACCATCGTTTGCTACTGTATTCACGGTACCATATTCCATTAAATTCATCCTATTTTAAATGTATGATTTTAATAAGAGTAATTTTTACAATATAAAATTTTATAACTTAATGGACAATGTCAAATCAAAATGGAAGAAAGAAATAAATTTTTTGTAAAAAAAAAGAAAAAGAAAAAAAAAGGACATTAAACAAAACAAAAGCTGCGTGTTTGAGCAGCCTAAACCCTGCAAACCCAAGCTCAAACTTATGCCCAACACTCTCATAAACCCTAAATTAGAACTTCAACCCATTTTTCAACTTGTTCAGCTCTTAATTACTCTACTTCTTCTTCTTCACCTGTTATTTACAAATTCAACAAAAAAAATTTAAGTTTTTTGTAGGGATTTCAGGCTTAAATTTCCCCCAAATATGTCCTTTTGTGACAATGGAACTCACTGAATTTCAACAACCCACCAATTATCAGCGATGTTATTGTTTCTTCGCACTTTCTTTGGCGTTGTTGGTCGCAGAAACTCCCTTTCCAATCGCATAGGTGCGTCCATTGTTGCCCCTTTTCCTCATAATAATATGCCTTTCTCTCTCCTCCCTTCGACCCACTTCATCATTTGTCCTTTACAATGCAATTTGATGATCTGGGTCACTGGTTTTTTGTTAAATTTTAAATATCCTTTTAGCAGTAAAGTAAATTCTGATTGTTTCAATGAAGTTTTTGATAGAGATTATATGAAAAAATTAGTTCTTGAAGAGAGGTGGAATGATGTTAGGATTGAGAGTTTGTTTGATTCTGCATTAGCCCCAATTTTAGTTTCAAGGGCTTTAGTTGTATTGAAGGAAGAACCTAAATTAATGATGAAGTTCTTTCGGTGGGCGAAAACGCGTATTGGGTTTAGGTATTCTACTGAATCTTATTGTATAGTGAATCATATCTTGTTTAGTAGTAGAATGTACCATGATGCTAACTTGATACTGAAAGAAATGATACTTTCATCGAAGCCATGGCCTGGTTTGGATTTGTTTGATGCTTTGTGGTTGACAAGGAGCGTTTGTGTTACGGGTTATGGAGTGTTTGATGCGTTTTTTAGTGTGTTGATTGAATTGGGAATGCTTGATGAGGCTAGCCAGTGTTTTGAGAGGTTGAAGAAATATAGGGTCCTTCCTAAGGTGCGTTCGTGTAACAACCTTCTAAAAAGGCTTTGTGAATCGGGTAGAGGTGGGACGTCGAGGAAGATTTTCAGTGATATGCTTGGGGTTGGGATGTCCCCATCTGTGTTTACTTATAACATAATGATATGTGATAGATGCAAGGAGAAGGATATGGTAGGAGCTATGACATTGTTTAGTCAGATGAAAGATAGCGGCTTAATACCGGATATTGTTACATATAATACACTGATTGATGGGCATGGAAAGCTTGGCCTGTTAAAAGAAACAATAAATAGTTACGTGGAGATGAGAGAAGTAGGTTGTCGTCCTGATCTTATAACATATAATACTCTGATTAATTGTTTTTGTAAATATGAAAAGTTGCCTCAAGCTTTCGAATTTCTTCGTCAGATGAAAAGTGATGGTTTGAAGCCTAATGTTGTAACATATAGCACATTAATTGATTCTTTTTGCAAAGAAGGGATGATGAGAGAAGCTATGAAATTTTTTGTTGATATGAGACGTCTTGGTCTCTCTCCAAATGAATATACATATACTTCTTTGATTGATGCGAATTGTAAAAGCGGAAACCTTGGTGAAGCGTCAAAAATAGTGAAAGAGATGTTGGAGGTGGGGCTTAACCTAAATGTTGTAACTTGTACTGCTCTGATGGATGGCCTTTGTGACAAAGGGAAAATAGAAGAAGCAGAGGAATTATTTAATACTATGCAGAAAGCTGGCATAATCCCAAACCAGAAAACCTACACTGCTTTTATCCACGGCTGCATTAAAGCTGGGAAGGTGGAAAAAGCAAAAAATATCCTAGAAGCAATGAAAAAGAAAGAAATAAAGACAGACGAGACTCTTTATGGCACCCTTATCTGGGGACTTTGCAATGAAGGAAAAGTTGAGGAAGCTAACGTTTTAGTAACTGAAATGAAACAAATTGGTCTTGAGGTAAATAGCCATTTGTTCACAACTCTGATAGATGCTTATTTAAAAGCAGGGAATGCCATAAAAGCTCTTGAACTTTTCCAGGAAATGCAAGAGTTTGAAATCATGCCTACTCTAATAACATTCATTGTGTTAATTGACGGTCTCTGCAAATTGGGACTGATCTCGGATGCAGTTGACCATTTTTACAAAATGGAAGGTTCGGGTTTACCTCCCAATATTTCTATCTATACGTCTCTGATTGATGCTCATTGTAAAAGTAATTGCATGGAAGTGGCAAAAAGGCTTTTTGATGAAATGCAAGCAAAGGGGATAGTTCCAGATGGATCTGTTTTCACAGCTTTGATTGATGGGAACTCAAAGCATGGAAATGTTGAAGAAGTCTTTAACTTAATCAGCAAAATGACCAGTTCTGGTTTGCAGCTGGATTTGTATGCTTATACTTCTTTGTTACAGGCTTACTTTAGAGCAGGGGATGCAAAAGGGGCCCTTAATCTGTTTCAGGAAATGCAGAACTTGGGCATTGCTCCAACACTTGGGACTTACACGGTCTTGATTGATGGTATGTGTAAATCAGGATTGGTTGAGGATGCACTGGACCAATTTCGTAGGATGGATGGTACTATTATATCTCCAAATGTTGTCATATATACAGCTTTAATTGATGGTCTTTGTAAAAGCAACTGCTTGGAGATGGCTAAAGAACTTTTTAGTCAAATGCAAGCTAAGGGTATGGTTCCAGATGTAGCTGCTTTTACAGCTTTGATCTCTGGCAATTTAAAGTTTGGTAGCATTGAGGAGGCATTTAAGTTGAAGAATGAGATGATTGATATGGGTTTGGAGCTTGATTTACAGGCATACACCTGTTTGGTTCAGGTGCTTGCTAACTTTGGTCAACTTGAAGAATCAAGAATGTTATTTGATGAGATGATCAGGAAGGGTATTCGCCCTGACAAAGTTATATATGGTGTACTAGTGAGAAAATATCGTGACCATGGAAAGGCTGATGAGGCTGTAAAATTACAAAATGAAATGATTAGGAATGGTCTCTTGACTGAAGATAGAAACTCTGCTGCTATGGTGCACAATCACTGTAGATGATGGTATGAAGCTTCAACACTTTTTGTGGGATGTTTTATCTTGTTTGAGAATTTCTAGAAACCTTATAATTGCAGTGAACAAGTCAGCTCAGCCAATTTGTGTTCATTCATGATGTTTCACACAAACCCTGGATGCTGATAAAAATTCCGATCTCTGGTTGTTCATAGAGAAAATTTCATCCTTGAGGTTAGTTTTCCTATTAATTCACTAGCACTTTAATAAAATTTTCTAGGCCTAGGTGTTTTTTTTGCTTTGAAACTAGATACAGCTAGGATAAGGCCATAAGGATAGAATAGTGGTGATTTTTAAAATTTATATTTCTAAAATGTTATTTCATGGCCTTGTTTGGCTATCAATAATTGGTTGGTTCTTAGCATGTTTGATCAGCTAGTATTAATTGTATCGGTTCATTTATCTTGCATCTGTTGTTTGACTCATCTCAAACTGTTAATTGTTTGAGCCAACTTAGCACTAGTTGTTTATTTAGATCTGTGCTTAAATCACTTGTTGGTTGGGTGTGTTTGTGAAATATACGTTGTAGATAATTAATTGGGCAAACAGCAAACAGCCAATGAGAAAAAGCTACTCATGGCACCTTTTTCATTTTGAGTGAATAGTCAACTAAAGGTCACGGAAAACCATTTACCAAACATGATTTTTCACTATTAGGACAACATGAAATAGCTTAAAGTCAAAGGGTAACTAAACGAGGCTAGCAAAAAGCCGTTTACCATACAAGGTCAATTGTACATAACATTTGTTTGTCTCCGTCTATCACACAAGACACACTCTTCCTTTTAGAAGTGTCTGCTTGCCTGTACAAGCTTAGGCACTACTTATTGTCTTAATGAGCTGCTGTGATAGCCCACCCCTAGCACATTTTCTTTCTTCAACCCTCTGTCCTCTCCTCTTGCTCTCTTGTGTTTTACTTAACCATGCTTATTTTTTTGCATTAGTGCACAGGCTCCATGTGGCAATGAAAAACACAAGATTGATGATGCCATTCTCGCTTACAGATCAATCATCAATTGTTTTTCTAAGGAGAGGAGCCAGTACTACTCACGTATGTGCCTTTGGTTATCCAACAAGGTATGCCAGTATAAGTTCACGTAGAGAGATTATGCTGACTTGTATGCCACCTTACGCTTTTCTGTCCCATCTGCATCCTCATCTTGTGTAATTAATAGTGGAATAAAGTCACCTTCTTTGCTTCTTTATGGGCTAAGCAACTGGGGCTTCCCCAGACTATCCTACGGGCAGATAAACAGGAATTTGGCTAATTTGTAGATGTATTTTTCTGTTACTTGTGAGGATACGTTGTCCTCTTGATGTGATTTAGTTTTGCAGTTTCAGTAAATAATTTTAAGGCTTATTTATAATCAATGCCAACATGGCAGCAATTAAGAAATGGGACACTGAGAGAAAATGGGGATCACAACTGCTTCCTTACTGTGAGACATTGATAGGCAACAACTAAGGTACGCAATGTCAGATACCACGCGAGCATTAGCTCAAGTGGTATATGGGCTGCTTTCCTAATAGGAGGTCAGAGATTTGAAGGCTGACTCCTTTCCATGTTATTGGGGCCTTGGAGGAAAGGAGGCTAGCCAACTGCCGATCCAGGCGTAACCTGGAGTCTTTTCAAAGGAAAGGGCAGGAGCCTTTTGGTAGTAAGGCCTTAGACTTGCTACTCGCGTGGTTATACTTGAGTTAGGTATCCAGGCCAAGAGCTACACCTTACCATATTTCAGATACATCAGTATTATAATGCTTATTATCTTCATGAATCCTGAGATTTGATTTTTCTACTCTATATCTCTCTCTTCTTTCTAAGGCGGTGATTGGTGACAAAGTAAATAGCAACTGGTAAACTGGATTAGCTTTACCTGCTATCACTGCTTAACTTCCATTATTTGGTTGAAGAGGTTTCTGTAGAGTGGTATGAGATGACTCGTATTACCGAAGTTCAAAGTTTTTGGTGGGTCATTTGTAAACATACCAGACTTTTGCTTTTATTTCTCCCTCTCCCGCTCCTTCCTGTTCAATCTAAAGAAGTCAAGTACCAGACCAGAGAGAAGATAGGAGATAGAACATTGGTAAATTTGTGACAAGTCTGACAACGTTTTTGTTATTTTCTAAATTAGTCCGTACATTCATTAGTGGGAAACATAAGTGCACAAGTGCATTCACTATATTTATGATGAAGTTGAATATCATGGTATACATGAAACATGCTACATCCTGAATATCTAGCTGTACGATACAACTTTTAAACACTGAATCAAGTATATTAATGTAACTGGATAGCAGTCATAGCACTTTTCCAAGTAAATAACTAGAATGGACTGAATGGTATGATTTGGCCAGAAGGCTCTGTAGTCAGTACCCTAGTTATCTTTCAAGCAATTGTGATTAAATAACTAATTTGAAATTAATATATTAGCTACTAGTGAAGTATCCATTTGTAGTTGCAGTTATTCATGCTCAAGTAATTTTCTTTTACTTGATGAATTTTGCCGTCATTTCATTGACTTTTTACTTTAGTAGTGCTTATTCATTATAAATAACTGCTGTCAAATGTGAAAATGGTCTAGATCATTGTTTTTGTTGCTTTTCATTAACTGTTTTTTTTTTTTTTTTTTTTTTTTTTTTTTTTTTTTTTTTTTTTTTTTTTTTTTTTTTTGGCGGGTGCTTTTCATTAACTTAATCCATATAAATCATAAAATCTTTGTGATTTTTCTTGATTGCTTTATTATGAAATCCATTCTCTCGTTACAAGTACATAACAATTTACCGTCCTTCCTTTCCCTTCATGAGATTCTGTTTTATTATTGCAGATAATGTAAGCATTCAATCCTTTCAACTTTCAGCTTTAGGCACTACTAATATATTCTTCACATATTTAAACAAGATGCATCAATTAAGGAAATCACAAGAGTGCCTTAAGACAAATTGAGATCCTCCCGGGTTATCAGAGCAGGTAATTACAAACTGTTGAATTTTGACATAATCAAGCTTGTCTTATGAGTATGGTTGTGAAACTGATGCCTCATGTACCCGCGACTTTCACTGCTGACAGTAGGCAAAGATTTGCTGCTCTGCTTTCCTTCCATGTAAGTGATTACACTTTATTCCTATGATAAATTACCAAACAGGTGGCCCCTTCTCTGCTATTAATAACTAAATCTTTTTTTTTTTTTTTTTTGGTCCAGCTTTTAATCTGAATTTTAAAGCTCTCTTGCTAATTTATGACAGGCTACAGTCAAGACAAAGTGTGCAAACAGAGAAGAAAAAAGGGACGTGTAGGGGAGATGATGGAAGGAAGAAGAAAAGGACAAAGATGTGGCATTCCTTCCTTAAAGGTAAATATCTTTCATCCTTGGGAAAACTAATGTTGAATAAAGAGGATTGTGTATTTGTGTGCACCCATCTACAAAGTGAAGAAAAGAACTTCCAGAAAAAAATTTACTACCAACCAAACTTTCTTAAGCTTTTCCACGAAAACATATGTAGTTTAGAAACATCACTGATGCTGCTGATTTAACTTCACAATTATTCACAGCCCACCAATCAAAGACTGTAAGATCAGCTGGTTGGCTCACCTCCAGAAGACGGCCAAATCAAGTAGAAAGGCGACAACTTTAAGCTACAGTAAAATCAATTCTGAGGTGTATGGATTCCTCTATTGGCTAGAAAATGAGGATGTCCAGATCTACATAGCCTTGTTCCCAACCATGGCCATGATCAGTCAAAAGTTCAGTGGTAGATAAATTGTATGAAAAATAAACCCATAGGCGTGAGATTGCCATAAGCTGGCCTTAAGTCCGAGCTCCAAAGCATTTTACAGTTTTTATGATGTCTTTAAGAATCCAACAGTTATGTTGCCATAAGTACAAATTATGAGATCTTATACCTCAATGTTCATGTACAAGTCTTGATGGATTTGCAAGGTAAACTTGCCAGTATTAAGGCTCTAAACACCTTTATTTTGACATTGTTCTTGTAATCGTATGTGTTTTGCAGTCCTTGGATCTCCTTGAGGCCTTACCTCCATGGATACTTCTATTTGTCACAAGTACATGATACATTTTTTCTATAGTTGCCATGAATATAGTTTCTTCGATTTATTTAGTATGATATGTACTCCAAAAAGAGTGAAATTGTTGGAAACACAAAGCCTCCTATGTAAGATGTGAGTCGTGACCAATTCATGATAAAAATTGAATATTATACTCTCTTTGTTCCTAAATAAAAGTCTCATTTCACTTAACACTTGTGATAGTGCTAATGCATGCTCAATTACCTCATTTTCTTCATAAACCATCATTACCATCTATAATTAGTAATTTGAAGGTGGCATTAAGTGTACTGAAATTCTTAAAACTTAAAAGGAGTAGTCCGTTATTACCACACCCACAATTTATAATCACCTATCAAATAAGTCGTACTAATAAGTGTACTCCGTAATAAATATCTTAGGAAATCATTATATCAATCCAATATACCAATTGTACTGTGTAACACCCACTCAAACTTTTGTTTTTATTAATGGACTCAAATACAAAATTGTGGATTTTGGTGTAGCTTCTCCTCGGGTACATTGTCAAATTGTTATCACACACTTGTCAAATTGTTTGCACAGTATCAAACACTCCGTACTTAGTAATATTTGGATCTATCGTCGTCATGAAGCGAGTTTTCCAGCTTTTCCAAGCTAGCTTAACAATGGCTGCAAATTTCACCCAAAGTACACGCGTATAGATTGTTTTTGGTTAATTATCACACAACATTTTAACACCAACATTAAAAAGTTAATTGTTACATTTTTGTACTTCGTATTATATATACTCGATTTGAATTAATTAACAAATAAATATTCTACCAATAATATACTTTGAATGGGAGTAATTACTAATTAGTACAGATTTGTGTTCTGTATGCTCCCAAATCCTGAGTCCTAATATAATTATTGTGATGATACTCCATCACTCCGTATAATTTAAACTAGTAAGTTGACAAAGAAATCCTGAAAATGGTAATATGTTTTTTGACTGCTTTAATTGTTTCAAAATAGGAAGAGACAACATAAACATACCATATCTGCTTATTATATGGTAAGACATAAAGAAAAGCAGCAGAACATGTTTCAGACCAGCAGTTCAAGCTGCCTTCACAATCCAGCAAATTATAATGAAACATTGCTCAAAATAGTACAAGCATTATTCCGTGGAACAATGACCGTCACACTACCATCTTCCACTTTTGAATTCAGAAGTACTTTCAGGAATCAGGATGACAACTGAAACGAATACACTGTCTAAATGAGGCTATATTGCCATAACTGATGATCGATTTCTAATGTCAAGATTTCAAGAACAACCATGGTGTCCTACAAATTAGAGCCATCATAACAACAAATCATTGCGAATCTTATTGTAAAATGGAATCAAGCTACTAAAAATTTCATTCATTAACTCTAATGTTACAATGATGTCTACAGAAAAAAGGGGGAACTATTGAAGGCTCCACAAAATAGAAAATTTTCCCTTTAGAACAGTATAATACAAATAGAAGAACATACAAGGAGAAAAAACAGATGAGAGCTGAATAAACTTAACTAGAAGCAGAATCAATGATTAAGGCAGGAGTTCTATTTTAGAAAGAAACACCGAGTTTCTTTGCGAAATCATCTCCATCGTCTTCATCCATGAACTCCTCTTCAAGGTCACCAGTTTCACCATCATTCAGATGATACCCTTCTCCGTCATCCTGTTCATATTCATATTCCCCATCATCCCCATGATCATACTCTTCATCAAATTCATGCTCTTCACCATCAGCTACAACCAAAGCCTCTTCTGCTTCAGGTTGTTTATTGTCGTCAAGTGAGGGAGATTCACTGTCACCATTTGACTTTATCTTCTTATTTGAAATTTCACCTTCTTCTTCATCTGCCTCAACCTCCAGTATCTTGTTCTCTACTTTACTGGCCTTTGCTTGTTCATCAGCAGAGTGAGAGGCGACTTGTTTTCTTGTATCCGCAGCAGAATTTGAGGGACTGCTCGTCAAGTTTACATCATTTTCATTATCCTTGATTTCTTCTTTATCGTCGGAACTTGTACCACCAGTAGAAGCAGTTCTTTTTCTCTTCAAAATCTCACTTAATGGCTTGGGCCCAGCAAACGCAATATTACCCTCAGTTCCAATAGAACTGGCTAAGACTGTGTCTCTCAACTTCCCCCCTGAAACTGGTTCTTGGTTCTTCAGCTGCTGTGACTTGCTATCAGTATGTTTGGTTCCTTTTAGCTCAGACAAGCTTTTTGGACCGGCAAAATTGACATCAACTGATGGAACAGTATCTTTTCTCATCACTGGACCTTTTATCATTCTTCCCTCACGGCTTTCATCTTGTTTTATTCCACTCAATCTATCTCGAAGACGACTTGGTTGACCAGAAACTTGCTGCCTGCTTGGAGATAATCTTCCAAAGCTCCTCCCTCTTTCACTCTCTCTCTCTGAGTAAATATCATTAACACTCACTGGAGAAGATTTTCTAGGAAGCTTTATTCTACCCTGAAGACGGTGGCCACGAGAACTTTCATGTATTGGTGACCGGCGCGAGTCCCTCCGAGTACTCCTGTAGCCACGGTCCTCAGCACGATCATCATGGCTGTAGTCAGAATTAACTACCGACTTCAAGCCATTTACCCTCCTATGCTTAGATAAACGATGACGCAAATCAGAATTTTGATTGACATCAAGACTCTCAGACTTGTATGGAGGACCTCGCCTGTCCATGTGAGCAGGTTCACCAAGTGATCTTTCTGATGATACCCTACGATGATCCCGAGCATACTTCTCCGGCATACGATCAAATGAATCATAGCCACGTCGATTGTGATAAATTTCAGGCTCAACATCAGCAACTGAACCGTAATCATCCTGACGACCAATGTCAAACTCGTTTAGATTTCTTCCGTCACGACCTCTCATCTTCGCATACTGATCTTCATTGTGATAAAACTCATCCTCGTTGACTTTATTATCCACAAGTACATCAAATCCAGGAGACGATTCCCTCAATGAGTCATCAGCATCTCTACCATTCTGAAAATAATGGTCGTCATATGAGCGACCATGATGTGCACGTCCAGTCCTGCTTCTGGAATTTCCATTGTCAACAGGTGGTTTTATTTCCCCATATTTAGAAGTCCCTACGGCGGTCACACCACTAGGAGGTAAATAGCCTTTTCCAACAGTTGCTCCATTCGTCGGCCGTATGGACTGATTTTTTGGAAATGCATTAGCTTGATGTGGCGTTTCAACAACCTTAGGTTTATTTGCTTGGAAATTCATTTGGGGTTGTGTACACTTTTCGAGACTACTAAAAGCTTTCTTGAAAGCATGAGCTCCAGGCGTAGGAGTGCTGGATGGAGCTTGTTGAATCTTGGTATTAGGAGGACTTGGGCCATGCATGTAAGGGCATCTATCGGCTTTTAAGCACTGTCCCCTCTGAAAGAAAATGCAGGGAACTCCTTGCTTAGCTGGATTCTGAGGAGCTGAATGCATAGGTGGGCCAGGCGGTACAAGAGCAGAAGGCCCATCAACTTGATTTCCCACCAAACCATCCAAAGGCTGAATAATTGGGAAAAGATGATTAGTAATAGTACAGTCTGGTGAACAAAGCAATTAGGCAAGAGTATATCATAACATTGACATAGAATAAGAACTTACAGGATGCCTAAATGAGCATTTAGGATTCAAGCAGTTCCCATTCATCCAGTACCAACAATCTGTTGGGTTCATCCGAGCATATTCACTATGTCGATACTCACATTCAGCTCCCTGCAGACACACAGAGCAATACCGAGGGCATGTCAGATAAACAGAGCAAAAGAGCCACCGATTTCAGCCAATCATACAACCAACTAGGCCTATGCTTCAAAACATTAGGGAAGAGTACATCATAACATTAGCTCGGACGTTATATACATACCAATTAGGCCTATGCTTCAAAACGTATCGCTTCCGTAAAGAGCATACGACCAAATCAGATAAAACTACTGGTTTTACAAACATACATAACGTATTTCACATATGCATCAATCAAGATCCAACAGATTAGGTAACAAAAAAATTGGAAACCTTTCTCTTCTGTTTCATAACTTACACAAGCTAGCCAATCAAAATCACACTAAAACCATAACCCTAAATCATTCCAAGATAGACAACGACGATAACCAAAATTAATCAACATTCAAAAAAAAAAATTAAGATCGAAACCCTAACACCAAACAAGTTCAATTGAGAAATAAAGTGGATCCAAATCAAACCCAATAACAAACGCAATCCCTAAAATCATCAACTTCAAATCAAACATACTTCACTCAAATCCCTAAGATTTAACCACCGAACAATCAAAAAACAGAAATCAAACAAACACAAAACAAATCCAAAAATCACATAAAATAAATTAACTCAAAATCAATAAAATCATACTTAGAACAAATCAAACAATACCTTTTTACAGGTCAAGGGAGAAGCCAAATAATAAACACAATCAGTATTCCTCTTCAAAGATTCATCTTCCGCCGCCGAAGACGAAGGAGGGCCTTGCTGGAGTTGCAACGCCTCCTTAGTAACGGTAGTAGCCATGAATTTATTGTATAATTTCAACTTCTATAGCGTCGATTTAAGCTATAGATCGAGAAATCAGGGTTAAAAATTGGAACCGCGGAAACCCTAAGAACGCATGAATTAGGGTTTGATTTGCGGTTTCTTCCCCAAAATTATTAAAATTGAGATTAGGAGAGAGAAAGAGGGATTAGAGTAGAGAGAGAAAGAGAGAAGTGAGTTTGAGTTTTTGGGGATTAAGAGAAAGATAGAGAGAGAAGTTGAAGCTGGTTAAGGATTCAGCTATAAGCGGCTTTGTTTGCCTTCTAAAAAGCGTTCTTCAAAAGGCCAATAGATTTACTGGCTTTGTTATTTGGGTGAAGTACTTTTTTGTTTGCCTTTTGTAGCCCACACTTTACCGTTTTGGTTTGGTTTGGTTTTTTTGTGTACCATACATTCCCGGAGCGTGTATAGCCGATAGCCGGACGGTGACCGTTAGTTCTGCATCGAAGTTTTGGCGA